TTAACCTGTTCGACTGGATTGCGAAGGTCTCAACATGCCCACTGAATAGAATCGCGGGGGGATCCGAACTGGCAAAGGTGTTTCATGCTGAATGCTTCTGTTGTTCATAGGTCAATAGTCGTTCCTTAATATTGCTTAAGCGTGAAAAATAAAAAAATTAGGTTGTGGTGAAAGATTTGTAGTGATCTGAGTGACCGCCAGCTTCAAAGTGACAAGATTCTGCCAGAATTTTCCGTCGGTCTCTCGTTTCAAAAAATGGCATTCACAAGTCACATAATGACACTCTGTTGACGATAATGGTCGGGCAGAAATATGCTAATTGACTGTGCTAAAGAAGAAAACGGTTTTAGAAAAGAAGAAAAATGGCCAAAGACTTTTGCGACAATCTAAACGACGGGATAATTTATTTCAGAAGACTGTAGCTTCACATTCGATGCACAATTACGGCAGTTTACCTTCAGTGATCAACAGTGTGGGCGCGCACTTTCTCTTTATCAGGATTTGATCTACAATGTTACCTTGGCAGTCGTTAGTACCTTTGCCGACATTTACTGCTTGCTAAAACTGAACTACTACAGAAAGGTTCTTCTGACCACATTCAGCGATGTAACTGAACTATAACAATTGTGCACATATGTGTTCAGAAAACTGCTGCCGCTCCTGTACGGTCGAGAAGAGAAAAAGCATGGTTCCTTCAGGTGCTATTTTTGATTTAATTATCTTATGTCGCAGCTGATGCAGTATAAGGGAATTCTCTTGTAAATGTGAAATTTATTTAAGACCGCAGCAAATTCGATTCTCTACGTATTAATGTTGGTCTCATTCCATATTGCTGAGTGTTTCGAGGGAGTTACATTACGCTTCATTCTCACGGTAATCGCGTGGCAAATATGGCTCGGATCAACCCCGTGAGTCTGCAATGTAGTGTGCTACTCCCTAGTGGTCATTTCCAGATAATATCGAACATATTGTCTTTCGCGATATTGAGCTACCTTACAGTCCAATTTGTTATCCCAACAGTCACCTCTTAAATGTCAAAGAAATAATATGCAAGAGCATGGCTGATTTGCACCCCTTTTTCTATTAGTTTTCAAAGCCAGCCCGGAAAGTTTCAAATACGCTTTGTTCGCCGCCGACCATTTTAAGCTCATCCTTTCTGAAACGATGATGTTGTAATGGCACGTGGCCTCACACACACACCGCTCGTACAGTCCAGGAATCAACTTTCAGAAAAATCGTTGCTCGTTGCTTTGCGCCATTATCGATCTCTTATATCAATTTCCGACGAGCTACTATATCAGGCATAGCGCACGCCTCCTCCATCCACCTTGAGCGGTAACAAGGCTGAGCCAGCCATGACAAGACAATTTGGCTGTTCCGAGCCCTCGGCTGAGCTCCGAAAATTATCTATGTCTTTCTGAGTACAGGCAATGTATTTGCAATTATAGGTTGAAAGCAATCCCGGCATCACCCCGACTAGTAGGGAGACCACGAGGGAACTGTGGGGACCGTACCTACATAGATCATGCAGCTTCTTCGCAAATCGCTCGAATAGGGCGCTTATCCATTACGAACCTGCAACCATCGACTTCTTTGCAACCTCTCCATCCACCGCGATTGACGAAGTGATTAGTGCTTTGTCGAACCGCTGGCTCGGTCTTCTCTGGTGCCCTGTCCGCCATCGTACCACATCCGATCCCAGTGAAGATCAAGGCCTCAATTTCAGCGTCTCTGATTACTTCTCTTGCTTTCTTTCCCGCTGTCATTCCACTACGCAGCTCATCCATCACCGCGACGAGCTCTTATACGCTACTTTTATCCCTGGGCTTGCCTTTAGGGTTCTCCTCGCATGTGGTCCACTTGCACTTTATCTGTTTCCCTGCGAGTTCGTCTTATCGATGAGATAGTTGCAACTATGTATGTACTTGTTGAAATACTGTGTACTTGTTGAAGAGAGCAATTTGAACTGCTAGTAGTTGTAGCAACGATAACTTATCCTACTAATTGCTTTTTGCGAGTACTTTTTCATTGGTCAGGAATGCATGAATCCTGCACTAGCAGGTGTAAGTCGCAGTGAAATGTATCGTTTACTCTGACTCCGATAAAAGTGGAATGGCTCCTCATTATTTATCTGAGTTTCGGAGAACCTTCAAACTTCTTCTCGGAGGAGAACCAGTACCTTTCAAACTTCTTCTTTATGTTTTTAATTACTTCTGTATTTTTACAAGATATGATTTCTAGATGAGGTGTAACATTCATTCCGCACATGCTTCAAGACAGAATGTGGACGAATTACTGTGTTATTCCCCTGCATACCAAGCTGACAAAGTTACTTGAATGATTTTCTTCCAGGTACATAATCTTATCCATTGAGAAGGAATTTCGGACTCCACTCTACAAGCTGTGGAATTGCCGACATAAGTCTGGAGTCTCCCCTAGTTCCGCTACGTTTTGATTCTCTGCAATCGTCGTTCACATTCGTTGCTCAACATGTAACATTTGCATAAATATCAACATTTTCGAAATTGCTGTACAAATTGATTACACTACAGAGATTTCAAAGATAGCAGTGTCTAAGTCTTCAATGCAGCCGCCCAAAAGTGTTGTACTTTGTGAGTCCTTCATTACCCTTGAAAGGGTCACTACAATATTTTCTGAATAAATTCAATCTTCGCGTATGGATTGACTGGATCCACCACAGATCTTTTGACAACAGCACAGTTCAAAGGTGACGAAAGATGGATACTATTTGCCACAGCAAGCGAGAAGGAAGAAGGGTAGACCCGTAGATGTTCCTTCGTGGGCTGATCTCAAGTCTACTTTACGAATCTGCCACTCCCTGTACGGGGTTTGAAGCGTAAGAGTACGGCGCCTTCTAACCTCAAAATTTTTTAAAGGGGGTACAAAAACGAAAACGAACCCTTCGAAAAAAATCCTTGCAAATCACTGAGGAGAGAAGAAGGAAGAAACTGCGAGACTGAGGCTGTTGGAAAAGCACGTGATCTTTTTCGAATCCTTGCTCGAAAAATACTCCTGATGTGCTGTTTGAGTAGGGGTAGGTTGAGGGCCATTTTCGCGTATCCGAGGACCCATGCATTTTTGTGCTCGTTCATAACTTCATTGTCAACCCCTAGTAAATACCTCATGCTATGAAGTATCAGCGAGATTAGTGTCGTCGGATAAGTACCAGCTCTTGGAAATTCATTCACGCTACTGTGAGGATCACTCCAGTGGTCTTTCTTCCATGAGCTTTTCGTTGTATTCCCCTAAGAACGCATGTTTTAAGGGGAATACGACGTTGGTAAACTCTCAAATACTCATAAAATTTTTAAGAAGCACGCTCATTGTGTTACAGTATACTGAGTTCGACTGCAAGCATTTGAAATGAAGACATCCATTTAGCTAGAATTTATACTGTCTCTC